TTCATTGTACAATGGAGCCCTATCCTCATCAGACTATTGTTCTTTATTTTACAGCATGTAGGATGGATGACATATAAACGTTACATCTTCTCAGGAATAACAAGGGAATCGTTGCTTTTACAGGATGGAGGACAAGTTTTTAGAAACTGGTGCTATGTGATTATTTGATGTGTTGAAAGAACTTAGTGCTGAAAATCCTATGAATTTCAATGAAATAAGGGAAATAACTCCAGTAAATATCTTAGACTTCGTCACACAGAGAGAACATTATAATTTCTAATTGAGAGACAAGTCATAGGTAAGTCTGCATATTTAAATTTGTTGGGAAAAAATGAAGAAATGTGTAATACATATTCTAAGGAATAGAATTCGGAACGGAAGATATTTTTTGATAGTGTTGAATACAATTAAATACATGATCAGACTTTGGGTCGCTTTCTTTATGATTGTTGTTATTTCAATTATCTCAAGACATTAAATCAACCGTCCAGGGTTTTTTTATTTACATGATTACATTATAATAAATAATGAAACATGATTGAAAGATTAAAGAATAGCAATTCAACCAAATAGTGTAACTACAGAACTGACAATTTTTTAAAAGTGTATTCATTATTATCACTGGTCAGGGGGAGGTAACTGTAAGTTAGATTATCAAAGTTTTAAAATAAACTTGTTAGTGCAGTCATTATCACTGGTCAGGGGGAGGTAACTGTAAGTTAAATTATCAAAGTTTTAAAATAAACTATTGTTTATGCAGTCAGGGGTATTCATCCTTTTTTTTACCATTTTTTTTTCAAATGGTTGTAGTTTTCAACATATCGCCTATTGTTCACATTTCTATAAAAATTCTTACAAATATCACATGATTTTTAGTTTGCTTTGAAAAAGAAAATCTTTTTAGGGTGTGCTTTGGGATATTGATATCAGTGTTAGGAACTGATGAACTGTTGTATGTAAATTGGTTATATAGAAGTTCTGAGGACTTTATTTGTACATTTTTATTTGATGGTAGTTTTATGGTTTGATAAGTATTGATTATTATATTGAATGTTTTTGTTCATATCATTTTCTATGTACAAAGTGCTAAAAAAAATTTGTTTATCATTGCAACTGTTTTTGCCACATTTTTTTATTTTCTCTACTTGTATGAAACTTTTTCATATGTATAGAAATATATGTTGTCATTTGTATTTTCTAATCCATTGCTTTTTTTAATTATCTAAATGTTGTTGATACTTGTAAATGTAATTGAAGTCATTTTTTGGTTCATTTTGTCTTTGTATATTGTAATGAAAAATCTCGCTTCAATTGAAGTTAATATTTTCTGTTCATAATGTCTTCATAATTTTCTTTACATTGTGCGTGTTTTTTTTTTCAATGTAATTCATCATTTGTTTAATTTTTTGTATTACTGGGTACACATACTACATTAAGATTAAGTGAGAAAAACTTTTGGAAGAAACGTTGCCTAGGCAACAATTCAATTTCTACTTATGACATTTTCTTTATTTTGGATCTGTTGCTGTGAATGAATTGATATAGCTACATTCCGTAGGTAAATTAGGAAGAAAATTGGAGTGGGATTTACTTCATATTCAGTTGATGTGTGTTAAACGTCATTCATGAGATGTTTTTCTGTGGAATTAGTTAAGTGCAGTACCAGTATTATGTTTAGTTTATCAATTTATCATGTTTGTCAATTCATGTTAATTTTTCTTTTCGTTTATGTTTCATTTTTGTTTCGCCTCAATTTGCACTTTGCCTATCACTTCATTTTCCCACATTTGTCTCCTTTTGTGTAAATTTTAATAGCAAACAGTATTGCCTGATTTCAGGCAGGTAGCCAACTGTCACTTTTATTTTTTTTCTATGAAATGATAGAAATAATCGTTTATAAAAAAATTTAGAATTTTTTCCTTCATTTATTCAAATATGCTTAATTTCAATTATATTTAGGAGCTTATATTTAAAATCAACATAAATCTATTATGATGAGATTTCATTCGGATTTGCTGCCTGGTTAATTCCTGTTTTTTAAGAGAAATTCTGATGAAAGTGATTTTATTGTACAGTTGCAATGAAAATATATTATAAAGCTAGATTGTTCTCTCAAAGTAATTGATAAGGAAGAGAATTTTGAATATGTGAATGTGATAAAGGTATGATTTATTTTAAAAAAAGAAACAACCAATTCAGACATTTTAAAGGTAAAAAAAACCTAAAATATATTCACTTGTCGTTGCAAATGACAATCAGTCTTAGAAATAGTCCATATTTTAAGTAAAAATTATTATTAGATATATTGCAGAACTAATTTTCGATATTTTTATCCTGTACGCTCATAGAGAAAAACAAATAGATCTATTGACCTAAGCATTCATTCATTTTTACGATCAACCAAATGTATTAATATTAATTGAAGTATTTGTTTTATTGGATTGGGAGACACCAGGACAAAATCAGAAATCCATGTCATATTTTTTCCAGAAGACTTTTAGAAAACAAGTTCATTTGATTGTCGACTGCAATTTTATTTGAATATTATCAGAGTTCCTTAACAAAATACAACAGCATAATGTTGAAATTTGATTCTTCAAAGTTTATCATTGTCATATTAATGTTTGAATACTGTGCAATGTTACAGGTTCTTCCTGTTCTGTGATGTCTATGTCATTTGAATGCTTTAAGCATATTCTGATGGCCTCTTGAGTGCCAGTCATTTTAAAGTAGTCCTGAACACTTGTAGGAGAATTTGAAACTTATTTATTATCATTCTGAAATGATATTTTAATTCTAATCAAGTTACTTTATAGAAATATTCTTGATTCCAATTTTATCAATGGTAGTTATATTTTCAGATTTGTTGTCTTTCTTGTACTTTTCAAGTGAGGAAATTTGGAGACTTTTCAATAATTTTTTTCCAAGGGCATCGAGGTCAAGATTACTGATAATACATCTCATTCAAATTTCTCTTTTTTTCTACAGAACAAAATATAAAAGATAAAAAGACATTGATCTTAAGAAATTGACCTACCAGATTAGCTTCCTGATCAGTGTTTATTGGCTGGTGATATTTGTAAAGATAAAGACAGTAGATTTACTGTGTTGAAAATGTTTGTTGTCCATAGATCTGGTAAAAGAACTGTCTACAGAATACAAAAATTGTAAATTGTATGCTTCACAGAAGTAAAAGAATGTGATGGAGTTGTAGTGAAGTATTTACTTATATAAATATAGTACATATATATAAGTACATAATGTAATGCTTTGATGTATCAAATGTTACAAATTCTGCATTGCTGGTGGTTGTTAGCAATGTCAGGAGAAAACCAGTTTGGTAAGGGAGATAATTTGGTAGTGTTTTATTTACACTTTTTGAGATTACTTAATGTATTGGGATTTTATAGGAATCCTCTTTTGAAATTGAATGTTAAATCTGAGATTATTAAGTAGTCTTAGCCTCTGCCACACTTGTCTTGTAGTGTCTTCATCCATAGACAATTCTCTTTTACTTCTACGATTTTATCTTCGGGCAAGCTGCTTATTTGTGTGTATATGATGGTACTTTAAACAATCTAATCTTTTTAATCTTGACAAATTTTACCAGAAATATTGTCATAGTCTCATGTCCATTTTGGAAAACAAACTTTTTTGTCTTCACTCCAAGACATCAATCTTTTTAAACAATTTACTAAATCTATACCATTTTATACCTATTTATGTAAAATTGAAATTCTGTAGTTGTGCTTTGGAATTGTACATCTTTAGTGAACATCATGTAGAAATGTTAAAAGTTAAGTTAGTTTGATACTGATTTGGTGTCTATCATTATGAAAATAAAAATTTTACATTTTCCGACAAGATCCAGAGTACCAAATAATTAAAATTAGATTTCAGGAAATTTACCTGACAACAAATTACACTTAATTTGGCCCAATAAAAACAGATCAAATCTTCAAATCATTTCAGGATTATGAAGTGATACCTTTATCAAACTAACAAGGGTTTTAATATTTTGACCTTGAAGGTGTTTCTGTGTATCTCAAATGTTGTACCCAGAATAATTTTATTATTGTTCAAAAGTCTGTTTTCCAAATACTGATGTCTATTTTACTACTACAGTGCCTTTCATATAATGTAACCAAGGAGTCTTACTGGTCATAGTAACCATTGTTATGATATTGTTGTGTGTCATGACAACGTTTCCATGGGTGTCATTTGATTTGACAGTTGCTATGGTAACTGATCTGGGATTCATTTGTATGACTGGCCAAGGTAATGTATCCTGATCACATTCTATAAATTGTTACTATGGTGATCCATATTCTACCAGTTGTTGCTATAGTAACCTTTATATTGCTATGGTAATGTAGCCTTGGTCATACAGGTTTATCAATACAAAGTGTATTGATCAAGACGAGTGCCACTTTAGGTGCATCCTTGTCTAGTCCACATGGATTAGCTTGTATTTGATTTGTTGATATTGGGTGATGTAGATATTTTGAAGGGTTGAAGTTGAGGGGAGGAGGATGGTTTTGTTGATTACATGTTTAAACAAGTTTTTTGAGGCAATTGTGATTGTATTGTGGGATTAAGACATGAAGAAGAAATTACTGAAGGTTTGTTATGTTATAGGGTTTAGATGTATGGAGGAGGGAACACAAATGATGATAAATACCTTGGAGGAGGGGATGAGCAAGGGTTAGTGGAGGCTAATGTTTTATTAGATGTTTTGTTTACATATTAGCAAAAATGTCAAGTGCTCAGCTGATGCAAGGGAAAATGTTTGGTTTTATAGCCAAGAAGTTGGGGAAAATAACAAGAGAGATCATCATAATAATTGTTCTTTAACAGGAAAAATTGTGTTTGGTCTTTAGTAGCAAGAAAATGTCATTGGGTTGTTGAAATGAAATTGGGATTTTCATTTGTGATCGTGTGAGAGGAGAACCAAGTAGATTGAAAGAATCTACTGGAGGAACAGGTGTGTGTACTATTGAATGAGAAAGAGAATCTACTGGAGGAACAGGTATGAGAAAGAGAATCTACTTGAGGAACAGGTGTGTACCATTGAATTGTGTGTACTATTGAATGAGAAAGAGAATCTACTGGAGGAACAGGTATGTGTACCATTGAATGAGAAAGAGAATCTACTGGAGGAACAGGTATGTGTACCATTGAATGAGAAAGAGAATCTACTGGAGGAACAGGTGTGTGTACTATTGAATGAGAAAGAGAATCTACTGGAGGAACAGGTATGTGTACCATTGAATGAGAAAGAGAATCTACTGGAGGAACAGGTATGTGTACTGTTGAATGAGAAAGAGAATCTACTGGAGGAACAGGTACTTGTACTGTTGAATGAGAAAGAGAATCTACTGGAGGAACAGGTGTGTGTACTGTTGAATGAGAAAGAGAATCTACTGGAGGAACAGGTATGTGTACTGTTGAATGAGAAAATGGGTGTTGTGGAATGGCTTGTAGAATTGTAGGAACATGCATATCTAATTGTTACAGTAATTAATAAAAACTGACCTGTTATTGGATAAACCATATCAGGTACCTGTTTAAATGTACTAGTTGTTTTAGATCTCACAACAGGTGTTTTTAGAAAGGTCTACAAAAATACAAAAAAAGTATAGGGGGATAACAGAGGATCTTAAATTGTTAGTTGAAAGGTCATACAGAGAGTATGCTCAAATTAATTTTAAAGTACAAGCCTTCACAAATTGGTTACATAAAACATGCTTGTTCTTAAACGTGCTTGTTCTGGAAAGGTATTAGTTCTAAAATGTATAAGTTCTGAAATATGCTTGTTCTAACATGTGCTGGTTCTAAGATGTGCTATTTACTGAGAATTACTAGTAATATTCACTGGTTTTGAGGGTATAGTCATAATGTTTTGGGAAATTTGTAGTCATTTGCACTAGGAAATATTTGTCTGTAGTTTAGGGGACTATTTAATGTTTCGTAGACGCCATGACTACATGGTTTGTATGATTCAGTTATTTTGGATGGTGTGTGATAGGCTGTGAGAACTCTGGTTACGTGTGCGCAACTGTTGTATATTACCACATTAATGCATTTGAATTTCTGCTTGAACAGGTAGTTCAAGAGAAGATAACTCACATTTTTTTCACATCAATAATTTTCACTAGAGAATTCCTTTTGTACTGATATACTGCTATGTTTGATATAACTATCCACTTCTCAACTCTTTCTGTTTATGTTGACTGCTGTAATGATTCAATGAACCTACAGTTTAACGATATATATACTTTTAATTTTTATAAGGTATAACTGTAAGAAACCTAGATTTTTTTTCAGGGTAATTACTTACATAAAGAGATTTTGCTTTGAAATATATTCAGCGGTTCAATTTACATTCCATAAGAATTCATTATGAGGATGACCTTCAATTACCCGTGTCATTTCCATGCATTATTGTTATGCTTAAGATCTTAGTTTTATGTCCTTATTTTGAAAAGCCTGTTCCACAAAATCTTAAGACAGATATTTGATGAATCTTGTTCCTGTAGTATGTCAATAAATGATTAAAGTTTGTATTTTCATTCGATACCATTACTGTTGTGTATTGCCTGCTCTACAGCCAGCAATCATAGAAGCCATTCGACCTCATCACAGTGTAGTGCAAATCTCTGGCAGGAAACCAGGACGTTTTTCTATCATTTTTTGTTTGTTGTATCATAAGTTTTTATGTACAACATTTTTGACATTATTTTTTGTTCATTTGCACTGCACTGCACTGCACTTAAATATGAGGCATATGTTGGTTAAATAATACAAAAATAAAACAAAAAAATAAAATTCATTACCTCTAATGTTTGTCTTTGTTGTTGATAGTTGATAGTACCGAGGAGTTACCACCCCTTGTTCGTTAGAGTAAAGTGGTTTGACCTCGAGGCCAGAATTTTTAGGATTTGTACAAACTTTAATTCAGATGATGAAAAAATAGTTTTAGGCATTTCATATTCATTAATCCATAGTTCTGTATCACAATGTTGACAAAAAACACCTTCAAAAAAGGACACAAAAATAAAAAATGAGAAAAGGGACAAAAATAAATTAAAAGGAAATTACTATAAAATCCTAACTACATGTAGATACTGAAGTTTGACTACACAACGAACGAAATAATACAACTGTGAGGTAATTACATTATATCATACAACTGAGGTAATTACATTACAACATACAACTGTAAGGTAATTACATTACAACATACAACTGTGAGGTAATTACATTACAACATACAACTGTGAGGTAATTACATTACAACATACAACTGTAAGGTAATTACATTACAACATACAACTGTGAGGTAATTACATTACAACATACAACTGTGAGGTAATTACATTACAACATACAACTGTAAGGTAATTACATTATATCATACAACTGTAAGGTAATTACATTACAACATACAACTGTAAGGTAATTACATTACAACATACAACTGTGAGGTAATTACATTATATCATACAACTGTAAGGTAATTACATTACAACATACAACTGTAAGGTAATTACATTACAACATACAACTGTAAGGTAATTACACTACAACATACAACTGTAAGGTAATTACATTACAACATACAACTGTAAGGTAATTACATTACAACATACAACTGTAAGGTAATTACATTATATCATACAACTGAGGTAATTACATTACAACATACAACTGTAAGGTAATTACATTACAACATACAACTGTGAGGTAATTACATTATATCATACAACTGTAAGGTAATTACATTACAACATACAACTGTGAGGTAATTACATTATATCATACAACTGAGGTAATTACATTACAACATACAACTGTAAGGTAATTACATTACAACATACAACTGTGAGGTAATTACATTACAACATACAACTGAGGTAATTACATTACAACATACAACTGTGAGGTAATTATATTACAACATACAACTGTAAGGTAATTACATTACAACATACAACTGAGGTAATTATATTACAACATACAACTGTGAGGTAATTACATTACAACATACAACTGAGGTAATTACATTACAACATACAACTGTGAGGTAATTATATTACAACATACAACTGTAAGGTAATTACATTATATCATACAACTGAGGTAATTACATTACAACATACAACTGAGGTAATTATATTACAACATACAACTGAGGTAATTACATTACAACATACAACTGTAAGGTAATTACATTACAACATACAACTGTAAGGTAATTACATTATATCATACAACTGAGGTAATTACATTACAACATACAACTGAGGTAATTACATTACAACATACAACTGAGGTAATTACATTACAACATACAACTGTAAGGTAATTACATTACAACATACAACTGTAAGGTAATTACATTACAACATACAACTGTAAGGTAATTACATTATATCATACAACTGAGGTAATTACATTACAACATACAACTGTTAGGTAATTACATTACAACATACAACTGTGAGGTAATTACATTACAACATACAACTGTGAGGTAATGATATTACAACATACAACTGTAAGGTAATTATATTACAAGAAGACTTTACATGCAACTATTTGTCTACTCTTAACAAACTTAATAAGGTTGAGCAAAGTAGAAGTAGCTGTTTGTATCAAATTACTTTGAAAAATTGTCAATGAAGTGTTCTGTTAGTGATCCACATGACTAACATCTTTGAGAAGAGTACTTGGGCTTTATTAAGGTCACCTGAGACAGTCTCATGGTGACCTATTGCAATCACCTTCATGTGGTGTTGTGCGTCCATAAACAATTTAACATTTTCAACTACTTCTCAAATATCCCTGAACTGATTTCAAATTAAATTTTGCAGAAACCTTCTCTGGCCTAAGAATAACCAAACAAGTGAACTCTACAGTCCACACACCCCACAGGGGCCTCAGTTGTGGGGCCAAAAGGGGTCAAATTGACACAAATTAAAAAAAATCTTCTCAATGCCAAGATAAAGTAGAGTCAAATGCTCTTCATGGGTAGAAGCATCTTAAGGTAATTTACCAAATTGTGATTTTCATGGCCCCAGGGTCTCACATTTCTCTGTGGGGAGAGGGTAAAGTTTACTATGGTTTATATAAGAAAATAAGATTTTTGAGCATAATTTATTTAACATCCTTTTAAAATATTTCAAACTTGGTTAGAATTTTGGGTGAAAGATGACAGCTTGATGTTATGCCAATACTGATCCTGGCTGACCCCTACAGTCTGATTGGCAGGGCCAAAAGGGATCCAAATGGCTCAGATTTCAAAAATCTTCTCAGCACCATGATATTGTACTATCTACTTTTATTGATGGAAGCATCTTAAGGTGCTTCATTACCGAAAGGGGTCTCACATTTCTTCCTGGAGAGTAGGTTAACTTAACTATAATTTTTAATAGAAAAATCACATTTTTGATCATAACGTTGCATACTTCTCACTGGAAATAACTTTGTACAATTTAGTAGTAGAGGATGACAGTTGTGATGGTATGTAGGTATTGACACTGGCTTATTATCATCAATGTCACTATTTCTTTTTCATGACACTTGAAAGCTACTTACCCTTTAACCTTTATACTCAATATTGCTTATCTCAGGTGAGCGTCAAGGCCGCCACACCTGTTGTCTTAATCACTTTTTTATGATTCTTATTTACAATTTTGACCGGAAATGTCCTCCCTTGCTGTTTAAACATTTCTCAAAGTTTGTAGGCTGCATTACCAATATCATATGAACACATATTGCCCGACTGGCATCTAGATTCAAGGATAGAATAACACAACCTGTAAAATGTTGGAGTGTGACGTTTCCATGACTACATAATTCATGTTCATCAGACAAATGACCAGTATAAAACATATTTAGCACTTATGTACATATATACTGTATAAAATGTTATGGAATCTACCAACTTTTTCGGCTGAGATATAATCCTATGTTCAACAATGTCCTTAACAACGTGCCTCCAGAATCTTCTAACGATTGTGTTTTAACAATTTTGATTCTATTGACATAAATGAACTAGATGAAAACATTTTAAAAATTTGATTCAAAGATTTGGGAAGAGTTATAGCCCTTTGATTTCTTAGCACATTTATTGTGTCTTGATATTTGTTTCTGTTCCTCACTGATCAAATCTTAGGTTTCATCAAATATACTGATATGTAGATGTTCATTGCCATTGTACAAGTTGGTCAGTCATTTTATTATTATTATTTTTTGTTTTGTTTCATTTGTTTTTTTTAATAATTTCGAAATATAAGTACTCATAATTTAATCTTTAAATGAAAATAAAATCTTATTTAGGTAATCAAACTACTTTTTACTTGTGAGTCGTTGACGTATTTTACAGCAACAGGTAGGCCTGCGTGGCTGTCCTTGTTTGTATGAATTTTCTCGCGCGGTATTTATGCTAATTATCTCAGCCAAAATGGCCGCCTGTCTACGACTGCCGGGACTCCGTAGAGTGCTTTTGTCCTGGAAAGCTATTCCATGAACTGAATATTGGGTATATGGATGCAGTTTACAGCTGATGATAACGTTCCATGTAAAACTGACATTAATTATTTCGTTGGGCACATCGAAATACAAACAAAGCCTGAAATTAAATGATATCGAGAAAGGGACCAGTTGACAAAGAAATAATGACCTAGGTACTTCACCCGGTATTATTCATTTGTTATGTCGAATGAAACATTTGTTAAGTAACCTTTTACGATCAGAGATACGAATGGAATTCTCCAGGTGATTTATAACAAAATGTTCGAGTTATTGATGCACAAAACTATCATCAGACATGCAAATAATTTTAGCGAGTCCACATAATTACATGTATAATCTATCGACCAGGTGCACGTCGTTACATAAAGTTAAGTGTATTAACCGGTACAGGAACTTAGAAAATCCTCTTCATCGGACTCACAAACATGACATAAAAATTAAAATGGCAGTGAATGTAAAGGTACTTGGTAATGTATCTGAGATCTATAATTATAGAGGAGTTCCTGATTTTGCAAATAGTTATATAAAAAAAATCCTCGTAACATTAACACACCCAACTATGGTGCGCAAAATTGGTACCTTGCATAGGTACATGAACTGAAGGAAAGTACACTTGCTCTGACTAATAATAAAAAATATCCATAACATGAATGAAATTCAGTTCTCATTATCACACTATACTCGATTTTAAATTTGTAAGTGTGACTTGCATATAACTAATGTTGTTCCGATTAATCGATTTAATCGAGTATCACTTGTTTGAGATGTTTGATCAATTAATCGATTAAGAAATCTGTAATTGATCATCGTGATGTATGAAAATAGATTATTTCAACATTGAAATTATTTTCAACATTGATAAAATTACTTTTAAAAAAAAACGACATTTGTTTATATTAAAAAGTATTCTGTGCAATAAACGAATAACAAGCACACAAAAAGATGGTGTAGGTACAACAGTTTTAGTAATTACGTGAATTACTGTTAAAACATAACACAAAATACGTATTTAGACTTGAATAATATCCAAAAACAGACAATTAAGAATTAATCGATTTTAATCGATCATCGATCGGTTACACAAAGTTGATGATCGATCAGGAAATCTCAACCGATTCCCAACACTACATATAACCATGACTATTCAGATTTTGAAATGTTCTTTTCATATTGCAGAATTCAGCAAACGAGTGATCATGATGGGAAAGAACTGTTGGAAAATCTGATTTTAGTTTTAATTCATTTTTGTCAATGAATGATTAACAATGATGATGGATCAGAAACAACAGTATGACAGAAACAAATCCATCAAGATTCAAGGTGATAAGAACCATCATCTAAGTGGAATCATATGATATATTCTGTTGGCCAAAGTGTTTCACTAACTCTGATGCATTAATGAAGATCCAACCATTCTGTCTATATTGATGCATCCTATTAAAGATGATCAGAACACCCCATCTACAGTGATGAACCCTGTCAATAGAGATCCACTCACATCATCTATGCTGATGCATCCAATGAATGGAGATGCAGACATCCCATCAGCAACGATGCACCCTTTTAATGGGGGTGCAAGGATCCCATCCACAACATTAACACTTTCATTAAACAGAGAACCAAATGTTTCAATGAGTTTAGAAAGTTCTTGTGTAGATCCAATTATCTCAACAGATTCTTGTGATGTAGATCCAAACGTTCTAGTGAATTCAACACCTTTCTGTAAAGAAGATTCGAATGGCCCAGCCACACCCTCCTCTTCTGGAAATGATAGTCCTGCTTCAGCAAACTTGGATTCCTATAGATGTAAAATTAAAGAAGAAGACGTTGGTTCATCGACAGAAGTTCCAGAAAATAGCCTTGAAACCAGAGATGATGATGGTAAAATATATTTTGAAATCTCTCAGCACAACTGATATTGTTTAAACAGCAGTTAGATGCTTTGTATCTATGGTTTGTGGTAGAATGTTTCACAAGTATGAAGGAATGTAGATATATTACATGAGTGTAAAACATGAGTGAAAAATATTGATAAATTTTTATGCAAGTAAAAGTTTTTGGTAAATACATATATGTATATATATGCTGTTCAACAGGAAACCATTAGATCTAATATACATATATATCATTTCATTACTTTTTTAACAGAGAAAGAGCAAAAACTTGATCCAAGCATAATATGAATTGTATAATAATAAGAGTCAGTGATGATGAAAATGTTTGTAAAGTAAATATTCTGTTTTATCTTCTAGGGCTTTCTTAGTTATCTCCCTTTGTATCAAATTGTGAAGATTTTTTATATCATTTAAAAAGATTTGAAGAACTCTCAGAGGAGTTGGGTACTATTGAATGGTAAAATATTTTACTTGAAAGCATTACACAGAATGGTAAAATATTTTACTGCAAAGCATTACACAGAATGGTAAAATATTTTACTTGAAAGCATTACACAGACTGGTAAAATATTTTACTTCAAAGCATTACACAGACTGGTAAAATATTTTACTGCAAAGCATTGCACAGAATGGTAAAATATTTTACTGCAAAGCATTACACAGAATGGTAAAATATTTTACTTCAAAGCATTACAAAGAATGGTAAAATATTTTACTTCAAAGCATTACACAGACTGGTAAAATATTTTACTTCAAAGCATTACACAGACTGGTAAAATATTTTACTGCAAAGCATTACACAGAATGGTAAAATATTTTACTTCAAAGCATTACACAGAACGGTAAAATATTTTACTTCAAAGCATTACACAGACTGGTAAAATATTTTACTGCAAAGCATTACACAGAATGGTAAAATATTTTACTTCAAAGCATTACACAGAACGGTAAAATATTTTACTTGAAAGCATTGTATTTTATGTATGTATGGCTGTCCTCTGTAAGTTAATGAACTATTATCAATAATAAATGTCAACTATGGATTGTTACAGATGTTGAAGATCAAGGTGATGCCCAGCCAGTGCAAAGTAACAGCCAGGTTTCTGAAAAACCTCACAAATGTGATCGCTGTGATAAACGTTACCGGACAAAAGGCCTGTTAGCAACACACTACAGAGTCCACACAGGAGAAAAACCATATTCTTGCCAGATCTGTTCCAGCAGATTCACAACAGCTGGAAGTTTAAAAACCCACCACCTCAAAGTCCACAAACAGAAACTTTATACCTGTGAAGTATGTGGGAAAGGGTTTAATCTCCCTGTATCCTACCATGAACATGTGTGTGCTCATAAGGGAGAAAAACCTTATACATGTGAAATTTGTGGGAAACAGTTCAGTCGTTTAATACAAATTCAGACGCACAGCCGAACACACACTGGTGAACGACCCCATGAATGTGACGTTTGTGATAAACGTTTTAGCCACTCGGCATCCCTACAGCGTCATTACCGTATACATACAGGCGAGCGACCGTACAAATGTCAGTTCTGTGAAATGGAATTCCGTGATCAAGGATGTCTTCATAGTCATATCAGAGTTCACACAGGTGAGAAACCTTATGCTTGTAAAATCTGTGGGAAACGTTTCAGTCAGACTGGACATGTCCAAAATCATTTACTGACACACACAGGGGAAAAACCCTTCAAGTGTGATATATGTGGAAAACCTTGCTCCAGCACGGCAGATTTGAGAAAACATAAACGGGTTCACACAGGAGAAAAACCATTTCAGTGCGATATATGTTGGAGGGGATTTAGTGAAGTCAGCTCTGTAATAAAACACAAAAGAATACACACTGGAGAAAAACCATATAAATGTCCAATTTGTGGGAAAGGATTCACTGAATCAAGTTCTGTAACAAAACACATTCGTGTTCACACCGGTGAAAAGCCTTTTATATGTGACATCTGTGGTAAACGATTTACAGAAGGGGGAGGCTTGAGAGTACATCGCATGACACACACAGGCGAGAGACCTTATAGCTGTGGAATTTGTGGTAAAGGTTTCATTCAAACAGGAAATCTTCAAACTCACCTGATGAAACATGAGACTGTTAAAGAGACAAGTGTATCTGATACAGACAACTTGTGTTACTAGTTCAGACCGATACTGTACAATTTTAAATGTAGTTTTGTGTTGTGCGCCTATACATTAAAGGCTAATTTTATTGTGATTTCCATGTTGAAATGATGTACCTTCCCACAAAATCATGAAACTGTTCACAAGTAAAAGTAAAATGGATGTACTTTTCCTCAAATAATATGGAACAAGTGAAATTTGAAACAAGATAGACATATTTTCCATAAAAGAATTTATGAAACAAATCATATTTTGAAGCAAAAAAAAAAATTAGATTTTTGTGTGGAAATGATGAAACTATATGCATTCTGAAAAATTAGAAATAGAATGATTGAGGGCAGCAGGGAAAAACATCTTATACATAGTAATAACTGGTGTTTTCTATTGCATTTCTTTTATCCTGTGAAAGGCCAAAGAAAGGTCAGGGGTCAGAGTACATATGTCATTCAATGAAAGAAGCACCTGTTGACCAGTTATGCTGAGCTACAGATTATGATTAATACTTTTTCAGATTTTACTTAATACCTCGTACTTTGATGTTGTATTCACATAGGTAAGATTTTATGTCTCTTTGAATGGAATTTTACATTACATCAATAATACTTGGATTTTCTTTATCTAAACTTATTTTTAATGAAGTACAATTTTGAAATTAATGGGTTGGCTCTTGCCAGCTTTTAGAGATTCACATCTTCATAAGGCAACATACATTTTTAATCTTTGTTTTGTACTTCACTTCTGTTTCTGATATAATATAGACCTGTGGATAACTGTTACAAATTGTAACCAGCTTTATCACAAATTTGAACTTTGCATTTGTAAACAAATAAAGATGTATAAATAAAAGAAAGATAAAAACAGATATATTGACACAAGAACTGAGTTTTTCATTTTTTAGTGGTTTTTTTCTACATCTCACTTCACATTCTTTTTACTCCAGAAGGTATTCAGATTGCCTTATATCTGTGGTGAGTTGTCTGGCTGACAGGCAGCCATCTTGGAATCTGAAAAAGTAAGTTTGTTAAATTACTATTTCTTCAGAAGAACTTAAAGGGTCTCAATCAGATTTTATGTGTTGGTTCCTCTTGGTCTCTAGTTGTGTCCATTGAATTTGAGGCTTGATCAGAAAAACACAGTTACCAACAGGCAGCCATCTTGGATTTTGATGAAGAAAATTGTGATTGATGTCTTAAGAAGTATAAGATGGATCTTATCAGATTTCATATGTAGGTTCCCCTTCATTCCTAGCTGTGATTGTTTAATTATGCGATTGATCAGAAAAATAAAATGACCAATAGGTGGCCATCTTAGATTTTGACACTTGTTGTGTAACCTCTACAGATATATTCTGCTAATTTAACATTAAATTAAGTCTACATAATTATTTTCACCATGCATATTGTTTGTGTCCAAGATCACTACCAGTCTGGCATCGAGTTGTTCACATCCCCCTCCTCTCTTCCCCATCTCTTTCTTTCTCTCTCCTCCATCTCTCTCTCCCTCCCACAATATTTCTTTCTCTCCTCCCCATCTCTCTCTTTCTCCCTCTCCGATATATCTCTCTCCCTCCCTCCCTCCCTCATATATCTCTTTCTCTCCCTATCCATTTCTCTCGTTCTCCCTCTCTGATATGTCTCTTTCTGTCCCTACCCCACATCTCTCTCCCAATTCCCAATATATCTCATTCTCTCCCTCTTGGATATATCTCCCTCTCCCTCCCCCATACCCATGGTAATACTCAATTAAATTTAATGTATGAATCAAACTAAAAATTGCCATCATATATATATATATTTTGTAAACTCTTAAATCTTGTTTAATTTTGAACTTGAAGAAAAGAGTAGCTGAACTGTGTTAAGATTTTTCTCTGAGCTGTTTTAAGATGTCAGTTTAGGATTCACCGATTCATTTAATCTGACTCCAGTTTTGGACTTACCGATTCCTTGCAACTTCTTTTGTTTGTGCTACAAATATATAGATATATTGTAAATTCTTAAATCTTGTTTAATTTTGAACTTGAAGAAAAGAGTAGCTGAACTGGGTTAAGATTTTTCTCTGAGCTGTTTTAAGATGTCAGTTTAAGATTCACCGATTTTTTTATTCTCAATGCAGGCCAGGATATCCAGGGCGTCGAAACCAATAGCATATTAGAATAATGTTCGTTTGTCATTATTTGATTTACAAGCTTAATATTCCTTTGTGTCTTGTCATTTTTTTATTGTCTGTAATGGTATATGTTCTGTGTATATTGCCTTGGCTTATCTATGTGTCTTGTTTTTTTAATGTTGGTATTGACTGTCCCCTCTTACCTGCTTTGTCCGTCTGATCGTAGTATTTGTCTTATCAGTCTTGCCTGTCTTTTCTTGTATACACATGTTGACTTGTCTATATTTTTGTCCGTCTGGTGTTATCTGTTTTGTCTTGTATAGTTTGCATTTTCGAAGTTCGCTCATATTTTTTTTTCTTTCTTGTCTTTTCTGAATATTTGTATTAATTGAAAAAAAACACACTGCTTAATTAGTTTATTTTCACTTTCAAACAATAATTGATTGATAAATGACAAAAGAATAAACAATTAACAATGTTTTCTGTGTTTCTTTTCTTGAAAGAGTAGTTCGAAAATGCCATGTCTCTCGCATTGTTTTTTAAAAAGAGAACGAATATTGATTTAATTCCAAAAAAAATTATTGACATAACATCAAAGGGATTAGACAGCAGGCTTAGAGCCTATATAAGTCTTCTCCCAGGACTACACATTGGTCATATACAGGACTTACATACTAGTAAACAGTTGAAAAAATAATTCATACACATCTGCATACATACATACATACATGCATGCATGCATACATACAAACATACACACACACACACATACTGGTTTTCCTTACATCGAGAGGTACCTTTCATTACACTGACATACCGAGATATACTATTTCCCAATGTTTAAGGCATAATTTTCACACCTGAAACTAAAGACCAAATTGTTCTGTTTATGAAAAATTATATATGATGGCATATTTCTGCCACCACGCATCTTTTTGCGGCGAGATAATTATGTTGACTTAATTCTTTTAGAAGTCGACTTAGCGTGATAACTAAATCAACTTGTTACGATAGTTAAGTAGACTTGGCGAGATAATTATCACGTTAGCCAGGCAGAACTATCTAGGATTTTCATTAATGGAACTGTTACGTTAGCTGCAGTGTTATCGCGGGGTTACCCTTTTAACATAATGCGTTTTCCCTGTGTTAATAGGGTAACCCTTTTAACATTATGCGATTTCCCTGTGTTAATAGGGTAACCCCGGGGTAGCCCTTTTAACATAATACTGAAGAAGCAAGTTAGTAAAGTCGGTGGTAAATATATTATTCGGGATAAAAATATATGATACACAAAGAAAATCTAATTGGAGATAGGCTGATTCATTGTATAAATATTTGTTTTAGGATTTTATGTTGTCCCCAAAGTTATATGCTCATTTATTCTGTTGTAAAATTGAAAGCATGCGGCATTAATCTAATTGTTACTAATGAGTCAAACTGCCCGCTTTAGGTTGTTATTTAATTCTATATATTGCAGGGAAATAATGTATGCATTGGAGGACCGCATGACAGCCTTGGAACAGTTTGTGATGACGAAATTGAAGCATTTTGGCAACGAACACACAGAGGCAATTAAAGACCTTCAGTCAAGGATAGACATAATTGAACAAGCACAAAAGGAACATTTGGAACAGTTGAAATCGGAGGTGCAATCAAAATATAAGGAAGACTTAGAAGAATTTAAGAGCATCTTAAAGGATGATGTAGGAAAAGCAATGATCTCCATGAAAGAAGAAATACTTAATGAATCGAAGGACGATAGTGAGTCAGAGACGGAAATACCTTTGGAAAAAAGTCGCAACCCAGAAAAAGAGACATCAGCATCACGAAAGCGCACTAGCCCCAGTGAGCCGTCCAAAACCAGACAAGCCAAACTGCTGAGAACGTCTACTCCAAGAAATACTGTGCCATTCCATTGCCCACAATTCTTGGGTGATGTTGACGAAGAACTCAGGCAGGCAACTTCTCCCACTTAAAGCAAATGTTACGTATATGAAAGAAAAAGAAAAATTGACATATCCTCAGTTATTGTTTGTTCCTAACTGGTTCCAAACCCATGGCAATCCTACGGGTACTAACTATTTGTTGGAATTACCGAGATTGTCCTTAATACTGTATAATCTGTCTGTTACTCATTCTCATTGTTGCTAAGCAACGTATATGATACCTTTTTTTCCTTTGGGTGCAGGAAGGGGATGGATGACTCCGCGGTTAATGTCTCAGGGTGGTAATTCGGCTTCTTACCTTAAGATGCATGTTAAGAAATTGTCATTTTTTATCTGTAGTTCGTTTGGTTGATGTATATGTCTTTGCAGGAAGGACAGGAGATGCCTTGAACCTTATAGCTGACGGCATTCGGAATAAGATGTGGGACAGAATGTTGAAGCCTGAAGGAATCAGCAAAGACTTCTGTACATATTTGCAAGAAAAACTTAAGACAATGTCAAAGAAGTTAAGAGTGGAAAGGCAAATGGCAGATCTCCAATCAGTGTTTGATGACATATAATATGATTTCAGTTTTGGACTTACCGATTCTATGCAACTTCTTTTGTTTTTGTTACATTTTTTTTATCTCTTCTTATGTAATTTTAATCTTGAAGACAAGATTAACTGAACTGGGTTAAGAATTTTCTCTGAGCTGTTTCCAGGTGTCAGTTTAGGATTCACCGATTCATTTAATCTGACTCCAGTTTTGGACTTACCGATTCTTTGCAACTTCTTTTGTTTGTGCTACAAATATATATAAATATTGGGAAAGGGCTTTCTATGCAATTCAGAACAAAAGACACACAAGTGAATAGCACCTTTTAATAATATAGTGTTAGATACAGTAGAGCCAAACAATGAATAAGACTGAATCATACAGCTGTTTTGTCCTTCTAAGACTCATCAGTGATATTAAGGTCCTAAGTTTTGAAGCGTTTGAGGAAAATCAAAAGTGATTGAAAAAAAATCAATACCTTGATCGTCAGGTACAATAGCCCCATAATTCATTGAAAGTCGTAATTTTCAAATATCTGACAATTTTAGAAGAACTTTAGAAAACTTGTATTGATTTTATTTGTATAAGACAAAAAGTTAAAATTGCAGATATCACTCTACCACTTTCAATTTATTTGTTATACCGATATGCCTTCTCTTACAGGAGATCCTGGATTTTACAGAAATCAAAATACATGTAATCTGTAAACAAGCTCCAATATTTGTGGCAGTTCAGAATCACCTCTGGCAAATCAGTCCATTGTTGCTTTTTTGCATCCAAAATAACTTCTTAATACATAAAATATAAACAATATTACAGAATTCCAATCAGCACAATTATATGTTGACACAATACTGTCAGTGGTAACAGTGATAAATCATTAAAGTTATGTGAGGTATGTTAATAGTATATGACTGAAAGGTTTATAATTATTTTAAATTTCCAGATCATTTCTCAATTCCTAGAAATATGTACAAATTATTTTTATTGATACATATAACAAAGTACATGCCCTTCAATATTAAATATCAATACTGAATTATGTTTCCACAAATATCGGAGTTAAATGATTTTTCTCCCGTGTATGTTTAATAAATGTTCCTGCATAACATCACAATTATACCGTTCCTCATCTGTGGGAATTCTAGTATGCTTTGGTAAACTTTGTTTCACTCTGTACACTTCCTCGAAATATTCACACATGAAGGATTTCTCACCGTTCTGAAATTTCATGTGTACCTGTAGACTCCATTTCACCTTGAACTTTTTACCACAGAGTTTACAGTTGT